GTCCCCCCCCCCCCCCCACACACACACACATGCACTCCAGGAAAAAGTGTGATGAGGAAAGTGAGACAACAAAGTCATTGACCATAGGATTACGTTTGTATTCGAACAGAACTTGATACTGCTGAATGCACAAGTGTACTACAGTATTTCGAATAGTAATATTTTCATAACAGTTGTTTGCTGTGGAGAATAGTTATGGAATTGTCATCTTTTACAGGTATTTCCATCTACCAAATCATGTCAGGAAGTAATCTTGTTGTGCCCATCATTCTTTGGGGCCGTCACGCCCCTACGCACTGTGTGTCTGCCATCTTGATGACCTCTGACCAGAGGAATATCATCACAGGATGTAACGACGGTCAGATTATAATTTGGGATGTCTTAGAGGATTGGACGGTGGGTCAAAGTTCATCAGAAATGTGCTGGTCATTTATATCTTACTATAGAATTTAAAAAGTATTGTGCTAGTTGAAGTAATTTAAAAATTTGGACCAGACGTGGCCAGAAGTTTCAAGGTAATTTCAATCAGTGGCACTGACAGCGTCAGGTGAGATACTGTATACAACTGCGAGCTTGAAAGGTGAAATTTAACACTGAAACTGTTTTCAAAGAAATTTAACAAATGTACATTAGACTCTTAGTGGTCAGGAGCTATGTTCTAACTATTATTATTGTTACATTCCTTACAGATATACCCTAGAAGTATGCTATATGGTCATAATGCTGCTATCAACTGTCTGGCCATGGCCAGCAAGAATCCACATAAGCCTTATATAGCAAGTGCTGCAGATAATGGGTAAGTAATCTGTTACATGTAACACTGTCACACCCAACACACTGTCACATCTAACACACTGTCACACCTAGCACTCTCCATGTTGTTACACCTAACACACTGTCATAGCTAACACACTGTCACACCCAACACACTGTCACAGTAGCACACTGGCAAACCTAACACACTGTCTCATTTAATGCATTGTTATAAAATGTCAAACCTCATATACTGTTATGTCTCATGTTAATATTTATGTAACATGACTGTTGCCATGGCGTTTCCAGGGAGATCTGTCTGTGGGATGTTAGTGATGGGAGGTGTATAGAACATCACAAAAGTGCCAGTGTTCACACCAGTATGCAGGTAAGGGACTGTTACCTATTACATGTAACAGTTGATTGATCTATCTCTGAGGGGATTCTCACTAAATTGCAATCAACTGAAGCGGCTTAGATGTCTGTCATACCTACCGTAGCTGTTAAAGGGTAATTAATTATCGTTTAGCAGCTTCAGTAGGCATGCCAGAGGTCTAAGCCGCTTATGCTGAAAGCAATTTAGTGAGAAACCCCTTGGAGATGAATTGATCCTGTTAGATCAATCTAGGTATGGGAACCCAGTCTAAAACTGGGCTTGTCTGGCTTATGAAGTTATAGTATTTGGATAATTTAAGGTTACTGTTTTTGAAGAGGAATAGAAAGCCTAAGAAAAGGAGGAAAGAAAAACTCAAGAAGTTTCTTGTGAATTCAGTAATAAATATGATGACAGCCAACACTAGATGATGTGACACCTGATGTGGCAACTGATTTAATTCATCTATTCTGGAAGATTTATGAATAACAAGGTGTAGGTTTGTTAACGCTGGATAAATGCTAACATAATTTTGTTATGCATTCTGTTCTAAGTAAATTCTCGATCAAACTCTCACAAGAATATTCCTTCTAGTATAAAAAAATCTACACAAGAGTTAGCTAAGAGTATTGACCATGGAAACCATGTCCATGTATATGCATGTGTGAGTATGTGTGTACATGTTTGTGTATGTGTGCATGTAGGTTCCAGAGTCACTTAGGAGACATAATCTATCATATATTGTCTACATTCCAGTCATACCACATGTTAGACTGTAAAGACTTTCGTCTAGTCTGTAATGGCTACTACCCAGAGATCCAGATCATAGACCCTGCGAACCTGACACTGCTCTATACACTGTCCTCTAAGATTTCCTCAGATTGGATCAGTGCATTTTGTATCCTAAGACCTGTGAATAGAGAAGGTATGTTGTGCTGGGAATGCACATAGTGTCTTAAAGGCAAGTTGTACAAATAGGCTTTAGGTGGGAGGGGGGATGGAAAAATCGTATATCAAAGTCTCATGGTAAAAGGTCCATTTCAATAGGAAAAAGAGCCCCTTCTCTGAAATTGCTGGCTATTGGCCTGTATGAAGAAGGATCTCTCTATTACAAATAGTATAAATGGAACTTAATCAAGACTTTTAAATATCAGAATCCATGTATTGCCATAGCTTTGTTGAATTCTGCTTTTCCAGATGATGTTGTGGTGGCCATCTCTAATTCTGGAACAGTCAAAGTTTGGACTTTGGAACCTAATTCTTTGAAGGTATGTTTTAAGGGCATGTCCATGAGAAAATGAAACAAATCTGTCAAAAAGTGACAAGATATTTATTAATATGATGTTTCAAAGTTCACATGGATTTGCATGCATTATGAGTAACATGTTGCATTCTATGATTATGTGATATAAAATCATATAATTATTTGCTGTTGGCCATTGTATTCATGTTTTTAAGTATCCTGTACAAGACATGATAATTGATTCTGGTTTGACATTATTTGATAATCTTCATGATGTGTCAAATGATTCCTGACTGTGGAGAATATCTTCAAGAATGGCCTCAGTAATATGCAGCTTATTGGTAGCCATTTTAACACAGTGCACTCTCTCTGTTCCAGAATAAAGAGATATTTGAGGACGAGTCTAAGCACATCCGCTGTCTCAATGCCCAGACCTTGACCTGCTGTGCTTATAACCAGCGTACTGTGTTGATTGTCTGCTCCAAGTACTGGCAGGTAATGTAGACTGTCACATCTAACACGCTGTCACATGTAGTACACAGTCACACCTAACACGCTGCTACATCTAAAACTCCCACATATAAAACGCTTTAATATCTAACACATTGTCACTGCTACAATACTTCTGACACTGTCACACCTAACACTCTCCATGTTGTTACACCTAACACATTGTCACATCTAAAACGCTGTCACACCTAACACACTGTCACATCTAACACACTGGCAAATACAATACTCTGTCACGCCCAGCACTACCAGTCTCTGCAGCTGTCTGCCTTCCAGTGCCTACTGCACACCACATTTCCCTCCATCACATATCAGTTTTCACACACTGTGCATGTCAGTAGAACTAACTTTTTGCATGCAGTACTGCTGCTTGGGCTTCGTGCTCTGCATGTAATGATGTGTGTGATTACATACTGTATGATGTATGTATGTGCATGCTTGAGGAGCATTTATATGTGCATGTTATATCTATTATGGATGTGCTGTCAGCAATTGCTTTATGGTTCTCAACCCTTTGGGCATTCTGACTTGCAGAACTGAGAAAAAACCAATAGTTGGAATCAGCATATGCAATTCTCAAGATTAACTATATAGATTATGGACTGACAGCAAATATTCCCACCAGTGCAGTTGGACTCATCTAGACACTGAATAAACTAGTTTTTTTTCCTCATGTCTGATGCTGAGATGAGATAGTTGTTCTTCAGTTGTCTCAGACTGGGGGGGGGGGG